AAGGCCAGCGCAACACGGGTTGTAATCCCGTTTCAGGGCTCTGCCTTTGCCCACGTGGCGTGGCACTCGTCCCTGGCAGGAGCCTGCTGCTGCAGCATTCCCTCCTCGGCCCCCCAGATGGCCCGGGCTGGGTCTCAGGCGTCCAGATCCTACACTTTTTACCAGGTCTGGAATCAGAAATGCCATGCAAATGCCGAGAGGAGGGAGAGGAGGCTCTCTGAGGTGGGGCAGCGGGACCAGCAGGCTGTGGTCTCTCATTCCTTGATGCATTCAGCACATACTCTGTGCTAATAAGCACCTTGCCTGCACTATCTCCCTGACTGTCCCCAGCAACTCAGCAAGGTGATTACTGTTTAGTCCCATTTTATATCCCAGGAAACTGCAGCTCAGAGATGTTAAAAAATTTGCCCCAGGTTGCACAGCATTGAAACCCATTGTCTCTTATGCCAAAGTCCAGTCTTCGCTGCTGCCCTTTATTTTCCCAGTTTGAGTCTAGCTGTAGGGTTTGGCAGTGAACATTTATTGAGTTCCTGCTGCACACAAGTTGTAAGTGTAAGTTGTAGCATGTATGTGGCACTTAATTTGTCAAGCTCTCTTTTACTCCTTTGCTAGTGGATCCTATAAGCAGAGATTTGGGGAACATTTAAAACTGGCACAGCACAGGCACTTACCACCTAAACAGCCCCTGTCCGTGAGGCAGTGCCCTGTGGTTTGCAGATAAGAACATTGATTGAAGTGCAGAGACAATAGCCCTTGTCAGCGTTCACACGGCAGGTGTTTGTTATCCAGCAGATCTGATTGTGTGGCCTCTACCTTCCTTCCTGTTCCAAGGAAGATCCCAAGATGGAGTGGAGTCTCCAGTGCAGTTGGATCTGGCCAGCAGGGACCAGCCAGCACTTTATTCCTCCTTCCTCCAGTCCCTGGAGGATATGATAACCCGTTCAGGGTTTCTGGGGCGTCAGCCTGGTTCCTTGGCAGCCAGCGAGGCTCCCTGGGATGGGAAATCAGGCAGCCGCCCAGATATTATAAACAATTACCGCTAATTACCAGGCCTGCCAGTTCCCCATTGTCTGCTCACAATCCCACCAGGAACTGAGGAGCAGACAATGATGATGGTGGAGGAAACTTTCAATTTCAGGCTGTGGAAGCCGTGCTCTGCCTAGGAGGCTGGGCTCCCGCATGCCTTGGAACCCATGAGGCCACCAGTTTTCAGGCTTTTGGAGCCCAGACCCTTCTTATAATCTGGAGCCTGGACCCCCAGATGGCCAGCAGGGCGGGGTGGGAAAGAGACCCCTTTGCATGGAGCAAAGGCTTTGGTGCTAGTGGGAGAGGGTCTAGGGTTGGAGCCTCAGTGCTGTTCGTTAAGGGTCTTTGGTTTTGCAAGAATAGTGGGTACACATTTCAGGCCTCAGACATTTAAGTGATTTTTATTTTTTCCATACTTTCTCTATTAACAAAAAGCAAACACTATTGCATAAGACTCAGAAGCCCAGCTGCCTGGGTTCAAATACCGCCCTGCTTTTCTGTCTTTGGTTGGCTTCTTCCAGAGCAGACCCTGACTCAGAGATTCAAGAGGGAACCCATTACTGGTCAGGCCTTCCCAGGGACCCCAGTGGGGGATCTGTGAGGAACGACACTGGCAGGTAAAGGATGTTCGATCAAGGCTGTTACCATTGTGGGCAGCTGGAGCTCAGGCCTGCTGGGGAGGCCCAGGAGGCTGGCTGGACATTCATCCTCCTATCTCCACTACACACCACTCCCACTTTGTCACCGGCTGGGGGCTGCCCCTGGGGCATTAGCCCTCAGGCACTTCCAGCCTGGCTGAATTTGCTCTTGCAGCCAGAAAATCATTCCCGAGACTGAGCCGGCAGCCTGTGTGTGTGCAGGAGTGCCGAGAGGGCAGGGTGGGTGGCACACTGCCTGTGTGACTTGGGCAGGTTTCTTAACTCTCCAGCTGATCTATAAAATAGGCCCAATAATAGAATCAGCCTCACAGGGTGTTGTAAGGCTGAAATGAAGTAACAAGTATGGAGCACTCAGACATTAGTGGTGCTTAGTGAGCCTGTGAGTTTGCTATGACTGATCTATCAAGTCCCCATTTTTCCTGTTTGCTGGAAACTTAGTCTCACTTAGTTCAGGATTTTCCCAAGGGTTATACCTATGTCCCAGGGAAGTTTATAGAGAGAGAATCCATGCCAATTGCTAGAACAGGCCCAGGGTGACATTTAAAGTATTTAGTAAGAGGTATAGGCCAGGCGTGGTGGCTCACACCTGTAATCCTAGCACTCTGGGAGGCCAAGGCAAGAAGATTGATTGAGACTGGGAGTTTGAGACCAGCCTGACCCTATCTCTACACAAAGTAGAAAAAAAAATAGAAAAATTAGCCAGGTGTGGTGGCATGTACCTGTAGTCCCAGCTACTCAGGAGGCTGAGGCAGGAGGATTGCTTGATCCCAGGAGTTTGAGGTTGCAGTGAGCTATGATGCTGCCACTGCATTCTAGCCCCAGGTGACAGAGCGAGACTCTTGTCTTTTTCTATTTCTTTCATAGCATTTACCACCTGTAACATACTGTGTTATTTATATTAATTATTTGCTATATGTCTCCCTCCGCCAGGAGGTAAGCACCTTGAGGGCAGGAATCACTGTCCATTGGTATATTCCAAGTGTCCAGAACGGTGCCTGGCACATAGTATATGCTCAGTAAACATATGTTGAATGAATGAAATGGATCAAATGGATGCTGGCTGTAATGCTTGGTGTCCCAGCTGAGCATCAGTGCTGGTTAGTATTCGGTAACATTGGCTGCCATTCTGTGCAGCTGAGATGTTGGGGACAGAGTATGTGGTCCTCAATCATCATCTATCCTTCCAGTGTCTTCTGGAACATGATCGTACTGTCTGTTCCTTGGTCATTGTTTCACACTGGTCTCAGCCACTTCTCTTTGCCCAGACCACCAGGCTGCTATGGATCTGCCTTTTTCTCGGGTACATCTGGGTCATGTGTTCCTGTCTGGGGTGTGCAGGGATGTACTGAGAGCTTCAGGGGCTCTCCCAGGGGTGCAGGGGGTCACTTGACGAGACACCCAAGCAGCCTTTTCTGCAAAGCATGTGTCCCATGCTCGGCTCCACCCAATAAGAAGGGTGGGCGCCAGTCCTCTCCACTTTCAGTTCTCCCAGACCTGCCTGGAGTCTCCCGCCATCCCTCAGGGCCACCAGCTCAGCCCAGGGACCACAGCCCTTCCTCAAGGGTCCTGCAGCATCTCTGCTGTCTTTCCTCCTTGCCTGACTTCCTCTGCTCTCCACGGCTGGGATTTGTCTGTTTAGGGGCAGGACAGCCTAGTTTCGTACCTATTCTAAGTCTGTTTCTTTAAGATTTGGAACTGAAAAGTCAAGAATCTGAGTCTCCTGTCTACTCTTGTGCAGACAAGAGTCTACACAGAGTGGACTCCGTGTCTACTGGGAGGCGGCAGACACAGGACGCCCTGGCTACTGCCTGCGTGGGGGCAAGCAGGTGGGGGAGGGGGCATAGGAAATTATGAAAAGGAAAAACATTCGGGCCAAAATGTCAAATTATTGTCTTGCCATGAACTCTGCTGATAACTCAAGTAAAAACAGAATCTGCTGCCTACGCTGGGGCACCTCACAGGGCTGAGGGAAGAACTGAGTGGCTGGTGGCTACTGGAGATTATGGGCTCTTTGCAAGGGAAGGCCATTTGTGTGGCTCAGTTCTCGTGATTTTTAGTCTCTGGGATTCTCTTTTATTTCCCAGACAGAGTTTTTGGTTGGCCCAGTTTGGGTCAGGCCTCTATCCCAGCTCTGGCCAGGGAACAGTGTCATCTTTTTGCTGGGCAAATGTGTTCCTTATCCGAATAAAGGTGTTAGAGGTAAACCAACCTCCTGTGGTTGTGGTAAGGATCAGATAAGAAAATGGGTTGCAAGCACTTTGCTCCTCAAGAAAACGGGTACATCAGGCATGGTACTTAGTGCCTCACCTCACAACAGACCTAGGAGATAGGAACATTGTTATTCCCATTTCAGAGATGGGAAAGAAACACTTCAAGAGGTGAAGGGAGGGGGGAATCTTACTGAAACAGGCTTAAGCAATAATAAAATTATTCTTGTTATTGTTGTTGGTACCGACTTATATAACCAAAAGATGAAGTAGCTTGCTTCAGGTAGAGCTTGATCCAGGATATCACACAATGCCATCATTTTGATGGCTTCGTTCTTGGGATTCAGGTGGTAGCTTGACAGCTGTCAGAAGCTCCAGTCCTGTGTCATATACTCGTCTGGTGGGAAAAGAGAGCTCCTTACTCCTTGCAGTTCAAACAAAGCTTCCAGGCCAGATTCTCATTGGCAGAAAGGGGCCACACGCGTGTCTCTGAACCAGTCAGTGGCCACGGGGAAGAAATACCCTGACTGGCCAGGCTGAGCTGCAGGCCCAGTCTCTGGACCTGGATCTGTTCCCTCCTGTTGCAATCACATGCTATGGGGAGGGAGGTTCCCAAAGGGAATTTGAGGTCTTGTTACCAAAGAAGCGGATGTTGGGCAGCCAAGCAGCAGGAACCAGCGCACACCGCAGAGTCCAAACCCGCCATTGCATTTCAAACTCTCACATACAAATGGATCGTCCAGGGCTCCTGTTAAAATTCAGATTCTGATTCAGCAGCTGGGGGTGGAGTGGGGCGCAAGCCTGTGTTTCTGTCTAGCTACCAGGGGATGCTGATGCTGCTGGTCTCTGGACCATGCTTTGGGTATCAGGGCCCTGAACTCATGAGCCAGGGACTTGCAGACTTCATCTCCCCCGATTCTTGCAGTCACCCCAGGAGGTAAGTATCAGCATATCCATTTCATGGGACTGGAGTCTCAGGCTTAGCAAGGAGAGGTAGGGTGACGGATGTTGACAGAATGCCATGGAATGAGGGGTGTTCTGGACCTGCCCGCCTGAGTCGTTGGAGTTGCCATTCAGCCTGTTTGTCTTGTCTCATCCTTTCTTGCAGCCTTAACTATGGGGGAGTTTGCCTGGCATCAGACGCACAGTTCAGTGACTTCCTGGGCAGCATGGGGCCAGCACAGTTTGTGGGCCGCCAGACCCTGGCCACCACGCCCATGGGTGAGTGCCCCAAGGCCTGTTCCAAAGGGACTGAAGTGGGGGGTGGGGAGGGCCCAGAGTCTCTCCCTCTGCCTGTTGGTACATCCTCTGAGCACCCAGCCTGGAGCCTGGTGTACACCGCCAAGCTCTCAGTAGAGCCCAGGCACTAGGGGTGGGAGCTGGTTCTAGTCTTGTTTTGGGCTGGGCGTGGGGAAGGAGTTTTCATCCTCAAGCAGAAGGGAGGGGCTGAGTCCTTGCTTGAGCTTCTGAGCCACTTCCCAGTCCCATCTCTCGGGGCCTCTTGCAGGGGACGTGGAGATCGGCTTGCAGGAACGGAATGGTCAGCTGGAAGTGGACATCATCCAGGCGCGGGGACTGACGGCCAAGCCAGGCTCCAAGACACTGCCAGGTGTGGGGGCTGGAGGTCAGGGAAGATGTCCTGAGGGGAACTTCGGGTCTAGAAAAGAGAAAACTGAGCTCGACTCTAGGGGACCCTTCTGCCCCAACTGCAGTGTCTTACATGGAACTGGTGGTGGTTTAGGGTTTGTTCGGGGCCCCAGTTGAGATTGTCTGTTGACTGTGGTGTTCTCCCCCACGGGACTGAGCTGGAGGGCAGGGGCCACCTTTCCTGTTTGTCATTGTACCCCAGTGCCAAACAGGGTACGGGGCACGAGGTGGGTGCTCAGCAGGCACTTGTGGAGTGAGTGGGTCAGCAGGTGAGCGTACAAGCCAGTGAGGGGGTGGAGGAGCCAGGGACCGAGAGAGGAAGCAGGTGAGCTCAGAGAGAGCAAAGGAAGGGGGAGCCCGTCGGTCTGGACCAGCAGAGGAGGTGGAGCAGGCCCCACCTAACCCTGGCTGCACCTGCCACCCCCCCCCACCTGCCCCTGTTGCATCCTCCCCAGACCCCAGGAGGCGCTCCTGTCCCCAGCAGTGGGAGGGCTGCCTTGCTCTGTTGTACCTTTTGTCTGCCAGCAAGGAGCCAGGCTAGAACTCACCCCTGCTGGTCTCTCTCCCAGCGGCCTACATCAAGGCCTACCTGCTAGAGAATGGCGTCTGCATTGCCAAGAAGAAGACCAAAGTTGCTCGCAAGTCGCTGGACCCACTGTATAACCAGGTGCTGCTGTTTCCTGAGAGTCCCCAGGGCAAAGTCCTGCAGGTGAGGAGTGCTGGTGTGTGTGTGTGTGTGTGCAGTACCAGAGTGGGGGGGAGCGCCCTTGAGGGGGGTCCCTGGAGGGCCTCACCTGGAGGAAATAGACACTGCAGTTGATCTAAGCTCCACAGCTTACTGTTCAACTTGGAACAAGTTCCCTTCTGAGCCTCAGTTTCTTCATCAGTAAAGTGGGGATATTAATAGTCCCTGCCCGGTAACATCGCTGTGACAGTGGAATGTGTGCTGCGTGCAGGAAAAGTATTTGCAAGTTTGGCCGGTAGTAAGTGCTCTGCCGATGGCCATTATCATCCTCCTCCTCCTACTCTGAAGGTCAGAGGCTTGGCCTAGAGCACAGTGGTAACAGCCTGGAGGCCTGTTGAGGACCCCAGAGAGGTGTTTGGCTCCAGCCATTAGGGAAAACCCTAGCGGTCACCCAAGCCTGGGGCTAGAAGCAGCTGCCTATCCTGGGAGCAGGCTGGGCCAGGGTTGAATGTCCCCTCTCTCAGCTGTCTCTTGGGTACCTGTGGCTTGCACCTTAATTCTTGCATCCAACCTGAGAGGCAAAGCAACTGAGGGCGGGGCTCGAGTGTTACAAGTTGCCGAGACAGTGGGGGACTTTTGCCAAACTAGGAAGCCCAGGTCCTGTCTAGGGCAGAGTTTTTCAACCTGTAGGTTGAGATCCATTAGTGAGTTGTGAAATCTATTTAGTGGGTCTCAACTAGCTCTTTTATTTTTAATGGAATGGAATAGGAAAGAAAACATTTATCACTCTTAGTAAGGGGAATATTCTTTGTTGGGGTACTTGCTTCATTATGCATTTCCATGTGTGCGCTGGGTGGTAGGTTAATGTCTTATTGTACATTGCTGTCAGAAATGTCTGGGAAGACCCTACTCATCTAGAGGTATTTCAGATACCACTTAAAATAATCAGAAGGCCATCTGGGGCCACACCTGGCCTGCTAGATGAAGGTTTGTGCATTCTGGGCCCCGCATCTTTAGGGAAGCATTGGTCCCTGTCCCTGTCTGGGGTGTGGAGGGGGCGGGGAAAGAGAAGGCTGAGACGGCGTCCCTGCTGCTGGGTGCTCTGACGGACGGACCTACTGTGAGTGATGTTCCTAGTGTCTCTCTTTGTCTAAACTTCCTCCTTTTATCATACAAGGACACCAGTCAAATTGGATTAGGGCCTACCCTAACAGCCTCCTTTTAAATTAATCATCTCCTTAAAGGCCCTGTCTCCAAATTCAGCCACATTCTGGGGTACTGGGGCTTAGGGCTTCAGCATATGCATTTTGGGGGAACACAGTTCAGCCCATAATACCAGTGAAAATGAATCCATCCGTGCACTCGAAGTGGCTTCCGATCAGCTGCCTAAGCGGCACTTACGACTTAGTTGAGTGACTCTGGGCTAATGATTTAACTTCTCTGAGCCTCGGTTTAAGCAGCTGTGAAATCAGATCATTTTTTGTAGGGTTGTTGGGAAGATTGCATCTAAGGCTAGTTTAGCCTCAGAGCAGTTCCTGACACACAGCAAATGATGATGTCGGCTCCTGTTGTTTTAATGTCACCCTGTGTGCTCCAGAGCAGCTGACAGCTTGCAGCGAGCTTTTGTAACCGTTACCTCCTTTGATCCTCACCCTCGAGGTAAGCTGAACAGGGATCGTTCCGTTTACAAACAAGGACACTGAGGCTCAGGGAGGTTAAATGGCTTGCCCAGTACCAAACAGCCAGTAAAGTGGCGGAGCTGGGATTTGAACCTACATATGTCTGACTCCAAAGGCTTTAACCCACCAGGCTCTACAAAATCATCGAGCCAGCCTGCCTTCGTGGAGCGGGGTGGAGTTGGGAGACTGAGGTGGCAGAACGGCGAATGAGGGTCTTGCAGTCACAGAGACTGTCCAGCTGGCAGCTCCAAGACCAGGAAACGGTTGACCAGGATGGGGGAAGGCCCTGCAGAAAACAGTTGGTAGGAAGAAAGCTAGCGTGTGCTCTGCACCAGCCGCTTTTTTTTTTCTGAGTCAGAGTCTCACTCTGTTGCCTAGGCTGGAGTGCCATGCCATTAACCTAGCTCACAGCATCCTCAAACACCTGGGCTCAAGTAAACCTCTTGCCTCAGCCTCCCAAGTAGCTGGGACTACAGGCATGTGCCACCAGGCCCGGCTAATTTTTCTATATATTTTTAGTTGGCCAATTAATTTCTTTCTATTTTTATTAGAGACGGGGGTCTCACCCTTGCTCAGTCTGGTTTCAAACTCCTGACCTTTAGCGATCCACCAGCCTTGGCCTTCCCAGAGTGCTAGGATTACAGGTGTGAGCCACCAAGCCCGGCCTGCACCAGCCACTTTTTAAAACTGTTTCACACGGAGGGTTTCTGAGGATCTGGAAGCAGAGGGCCCACGGGGGAAGCAGTCAGGGGACTCACAATGTAGGGCCAGCCCTCAAGGCCTGGGTTGGAAGATGGGGCGTGTGGAGGATGGAGTGGAGAGGGCAGGAAGCCGGTCACCCAGGCAAGCAGTCATGGGCGCTGGAGCTGGGAAAATATGGTCGGGCTTGAGCAGCCTTACGGAGGTGGAATTCACAGGTGAACGGGGCATGGGGGCAGCCCCCGGCTCTGGTCCTGGGCCTGTGGTGGCATTGCAGGATTCGAACCATTGTGTCTCTCGCCCCACAGGTGATCGTGTGGGGGAACTACGGACGGATGGAGCGGAAGCAGTTCATGGGCGTGGCACGCGTGCTGCTGGAGGAGCTGGACTTGACCACCCTGGCCGTGGGCTGGTACAAGCTCTTCCCCACCTCCTCCATGGTGGACCCGGCCGCGGGCCCCCTGCTCCGGCAGGCGTCCCAGTTGTCCCTCGAGAGCACCGTGGGGCCCTGCGGAGAGCGATCTTAGTGCTGGGGCTGGGGAGGGGCTCCCCTAGAGGGCCTGGGGACCGCCCAGCTCTGACCTGGGACCCCAGGCCCATGGGCACACTGGACAGGAGGACGGGGTTCTCCCCCACAGTGGGGAAGTAGAACGGGGAGACCTGCCCCCCTTGGGCCCCTCCTCACCCCTTCTTTGCCTCCTACTCCCTGAGACCTTCCCTCTCCCAACGGGATTGGCTACACTTTTGACTTGGCGGGTTCTTGACCTGGTGGATGTGGCTGCAATCTGGAGAAAGGAGAGACTGAGGTGGCAGTGCAAACCACTCTCCTGCCCCAAACCCTGTCCACTTCCCCTTTTTGCCTCCTCGGAAGCTCGCTGCCCGGAGCCAAGTCCAGAACCCGGCCGGCCATCTCCATGGTGCCAATTACCAGCAAGTGTCTTTCCTGCGGCACCGGGTTCAGGCAGCTACTCCTGCCCCAGAGCCGTCGGGGCAGCTTTGCAAGGATCCGGAGCCAGCTCCCGGGGGCCCAGAGCCCCCCACTGAAGAGGAGCTCGGGCTTCCCTCTGCCTGCCCGTGGAAGGAGCTTTGCCGCAGCCTGTCCGAGTCCATCTGTCCGTCCCCTCCTGCCTGCTCCTCTTCTGGTGGCTCTGGAAATTGGGGTCTAGCAAGGATCAAAGGAAAGGAGGGGGTGCCCGGGGCCTGGCATAGACCCCCAGGGCGCCTTGTTCCATGGGATTGCAACAGGCTTGTTTGGGAACTGTTGTGGCCTGGAAAGAACATTGTCATCTGTGTTTTGGTGGAGAGGCTGTGCAACCTGAGTTTTCATAACTCCAAGCCTAGAGCTCACCGTCTCTTCATTTGGGGGATGTTGCATTGGAGAGGGAGGCTCAGGAAAGCTGGGATTGGGACTGGTGGTGCCAAGGTAAGGGTTTCCCACATAGGAGAACCCCTCCTTGTTGGATGAGGTCAAAGGTCATCTTGTCTACCCCTCTGCCTCCAGGCCAGGGGTCTGGGGAGGCAATAGAGCCCCCCCTATTTTAGTCTTTTTTAACAAACCATTCTGTACTAAGGGCAGAACCCAGCGCCCCAGCCTCAATTACCTTGGCTCAAGGAAAGCTGGTGGTAGGAGAGAGAATGAAGAGGCACAAGTGTAAGAATTGGGAGATTCCTTCTCAAGCAGGCCTGGGTTGCTGCCTTCCCAGCCTGGCCCTCCCTGGGGCCTGCGGGAGCCCTTTTGCATGCGAGGGAGGACATAGGCTGGTCCCTCTTTATAGAAGCACATTTCTGCCACCTCCCCTGGGAGGCACCCAGCAGCCTACCACTCCTCTTTACCTAGTCCCTGCTGTGTAGGGCGTAGTCCAGGTTAGCTGGGTAGAGTTAGTGTTTCAAGCCCTGGGGCCTGTTCTTAGCTCATACATAGTCCTTACAGAGCCCCAGGACAGTGGGGAGGAGACAGGAACATTCCAGGAGACCACCGTCTCCTCGCTGGCCTGGCAGCCTGGTTCACAGGAGGCCAGCCCCTCCTCCCCCGCCCCCTTCCTTCCCCTGTCCCCTATAGGGTTATAGCTGGAGCTGCCCATTAGACTCACGTTCCAATTTATTATCCTTGGTCCTGACTTTCTTTACGAGGCACTCCTGAGGATCGTGGGGCCTTGGCCGGCGGGGCCTGGTCTCCACTAAAGGGTGTCATTTTCCACTGAGGACACCTGGGCTGTCTTTGGACCCACCCTGTTCCTGGTCCCGCCAGGCGATTCCTTCCACCTGGAAACTTTCCCCTGCCTGTTTCCTCAGCCTGTTTCAGCCCTGGGTATCCGTTACAGTTCCGTGGAGTTACAGCGCCTCCTTGGAGCATCTTACACTGCTCTGGGAGGAGGGACTGGGGAGGCCCCTTCTATCTGGGAGGGATTCAGAGCTTCCCGCGACTTGGCGACTTGGCAGGTCAGACAGATCCCAAGGCTGTGGGAGGTGGGAGCAGGTCTCTGGGTGGAATCAGCACCCCCCACCCCCATTTGTGTTTTTAACCCGTGTGATTTCTCTGCTGTTTGTTTATTACTCACCATTTGGAATACTTTGAGCCAGGAGAGTGACTTCTCTCTCCAGCCGGCACTGCTGTGGTTGTTCAGGGGTAGCTTGACCAAGACGGGGCAGGGCCTGGCTGTCCCAACCAGAGGGCAAGGCAGCTCGGCCTGACAGCCTGAGCCCTCCCTCTGGTGGCCTCACAGCCTTTATAAAGAGAGAGAGAGAGAAAGAGAGAGAGCTCCAAAGCAATAACAACACCCTGGGGGTGGTCAGCGAGGGCCCCCTCAATGATTTTCTTGTTTGTTCTGTGAAATCTCGCTCACCTCCTGGAGGGGTGGGGTGGATGGGGGCTGGAGCCCTATTTCTTCGTGTCATCGTTGTGAGCACATGCCCCTCTTGTTCGGGGCTGTGGCCATCAGGTGTGGGAACCACCACGGTCTGTCCTCACCAGGGGATGGAGGTTTGGGGAGGGGATTGCCATTTCCATTACCTTTAAGGAAGCTTCCAGCCCCGCCCAGCCTGTCCCTGCTGCTGTCTGATCCTTTGCCATCTTGAACTGCATCATTTGGAGAGCAGTGAAGAGGTGGAGTTTGGGGGCCTTTGGGGTCTGGAGTCTCTGGGAGTGACTTTATTTTCAGTCTCTGGGGCAGGGGCACCATGGGAGGCAGCCATCTCCACTTTCTGTCTCCAGAATCCCCTTTCATACTAAAGGGAAAGGGCCTTTGGGACCATTAGTCCATTTTCATTTTACAGACTAGGACACTAAGGCCCAGCACAGGGAGGAGCCACCCCTGGGGTCACCTGTGCATTCAGTGGCACCCCCACCTGAGTCTCCTCCCAGCAGAGGCTGAGCCAGAGCAGGGCAGGATGAGATGGGGCCGCCCCTTACCCTCCCTTCCTCCTCCCTGCTCTCTAGGAGCCTCCTAGTGGCCCTGGGAAGACGGGCAGGACATGTTGTAGCCCATCAGAGAGGTTAGGAAACTGAGGCCCGGAAACAGGAAGTGACTCGCCCAAGACCCCTCAGGAAGTGTGCAACAGGCTGGGCAGAACTAGGGCTCCATGGTGCACCCTTCCTTCAGGTGACAGGACGTTGCCCCGGAGCATGTCCGCCAGGGTTGCACAGCCCTGCTTGGCTCCACCTGTGGGCAGGAACGTCTGGGTGTGGGTTGTGGGGAGGGTAGCCAAGGAGACTCGGCCCTGCTGGGGTGGCCCAGGGGCCACAGGATTTGGTCCAGGCCTTGATGTCTGGGTGGGGGCTCCTGCTGAGGGGCTGGAACCTCTCGGGGACCAGAAGGAGGGAGGTTGAGAAACACCTGCCCCTGCCTGGGGCTGTGAGCCAGTGGGGGCAGCGTGGCGCCCCTCAGCTTAGGGAAATCTCCCAAACCTTCAGCTGTAATGCGACCTGGCCCTCCCGCAGTGCTTCTCAAACTTTCTGTTTTCCGAATGCTTTCACCCTGAGTGTGCCCTTTGGCCCTCACAAGAGTCCCTGGCTAGTAGGTGGGGGCCTGTGTTGCCAGCCCCATGTTATAGAGGGGAGCTGAGGTCCTGGCCGGGGAGGTGCTTGCCCAAGGCCCCACTTAGGCAGGTTGGGGGTGGAGCCAGGCCTGGAACTCGGTCCCCGCTAGTTCAGAGCTCTTCTACTCCGGGAGGTGAAGGGGATAGGCTCCGGGTGGTTATGCATTTAACAAGCTGTTGACCATCCAGTTCCTTAAACCTGAGCTCCTGGGTGCGTTTTGGCATCGGAAGCAGCACTGAGTCCCACCCCCTTTGGAGGTACAGCTGTTGCATCAGGCAAGGTCACCTGCATTTATTTATTGAGCAGCAGCCGTTCCAGGCCCAGGGGACCGAGCCCATTCCTCTGTAGTGACTCCCAGGCCCTCTGGGAGGGCCCGTGTCTGTAGAGCAGCACGTCGGAGTGGACAGAAAGTGTCCACGGCTCCCCTGACTCGCAGCCCCCCCTGAGGTGGGCTGGCGGTGCCCATGTTACCCAGAGCTTCTGTGAGGCCAGAGTGGAGACTTGAACCCAGGGCTGTGGGCGTTGCCCCTGGAGCCGGTTCACTCTATGGCTGCCTCCTACTGGGGTGGCGGGAAGGCAGGGCCCTGGGTGCTCAGGCTGGGGGCCTCTCTCCATCCACCCCTCTCCCTCATTCCCTCGCCAGGAGCCGGAGTGCCCAGGCCTTTGGGGAGGGACGGTTTCCAGGGCCCCTGGGTTGGAGCGGGTCACACTGCATTGTGTTCATGACCATGTAGCTCATGTTGAAAATTAAAGTTTTTGGCTTTTCTAACCTGGCTTGCTCTTGCTTTGTGTGGAAACCGTTCTATCTGGGACGCGGAGGGAAGCTGGTGTGTTAAGGGGCTGAGTGCTATGGGCTGCCAGGACACCACACCAGGGGCTTTGTTAATGCCCCCTGTGGCGAGGGGGGCCTGTTCCAGAAAGCCCTGCCAGAGACGCAGAAGAGGGACAAGGGTTCTGGGTGAGCCCAGCCACTTTAAAGATGTGGAAACTGAGGCCCAGGGAGGGGATGCAATTCCCCAAGGTCACATTGCTGGTGATTGAGAGCTTGTACCACAGCATTGGGCTGTGTCCAGGAGGCCCAGTGACAGTGGGTGTCATGTCGGCAAGGGCCCCCTCATCCCGAAGTGGGCTGGCCAGGGACAAAGCATCGTTCACACGTGGGCCAGTTTCACGCCACACCGGCCGGTCTCTGTTCCCAGCGCTGCTGGAAGCGGGAGCACCTGGCCTCACCGACTCCGACGAGGATTTCGGGGTGGAAAGTCGCGCGTTTCTCCTACAACACGGAAAACCAGGCTATTCACATACAGAAGTTGCTCGCAAGGGGCGGCCCGTTGGTGACACGGACCTGCGCAGAGCCTCTCCTAGGTGCCGCTGTGGCCAAGCCTTCCTACGGATTGGACCAGGAGGGATTTGCTCCTGCAGGGTGGCTGTAGCGTCTGGCGCGTGCTTGTGATGCGACTTCAGTGTATTTTTGGAGAGGAGGGAGGGGACTAGCCGCAGAAGGTGTTGAGAAGCTGCTCGTGGCGGAAGACAGCCCTGGGCCCTTCACCCTCTCCAAGTCCCGGGGAGGGCGCCCTGGGAGGTGACGCCGACCCTGCCATTCCGGGTTCCACCGGGCCCGGGTGGCGCCGTCAGATGGACCTCCGCCGGGCCCGGGGCCTGTCTGGCTCGCCGCGGCGCTCGGCGCCGGGGCTGGAGGGGGGCGAGAAGCCCAGATTGTCGCGGGCGCACGTCTCCAGCCGGTGCGCGCGGCGGGCGGCGGAGGCGGAGCCCCCGGGGCGGGGCGCGCGGCCGGGCCGGCTGCTGTCGGGCGCCCCCGGGCGGCGCGCGCTGGCGCGGCGGGCAGCGCGCTGCGGGGCGCCGGCGCTGGCGGCGAGGAAGCGCAGGACCACGAGGTTGAGGAAGGCGCCGATGACCGTGAGCCCCAGGAGGATGTAGAGGAAGCTGAAGGCCACGTAGCGCGGCTTCCTCTGCAGCGCCCCGTCGTTCTGCAGCGCCACGAAGTCGCCGAAGCCGATGGTGGTGAGGGTGATGAAGCAGTAGTAGTAGGCGTGGAAGAAGGTCCAGCCCTCGAAGTGCGCGAAGGCGGCGGCCCCGAGGGCCAGGGTGGCGGCGCACGCCAGCAGCCCGGCCACCACCATGTTCTCGGTGGACACGCGCGGCCGCCGCAGGCCCAGGCAGCGCTTGGCCGCCAGCAGGAGGCGCCGCGCCAGCGTGTTCAGCCGCTCGCCCAGGCTCTGGAAGGTGACCAGCGCCAGGGGGATGCCCAGCAGCGCGTAGAACATGCAGAAGACCTTGCCCGAGTCCGTGCCCGGCGCGGCGTGGCCGTACCCTGTGCGGGGAGAGCGGAGGGGACGGCCGGTGAGTGCGCAGCTCCACCTCATACCAGGTGTCCCTCCCCATCCTCAGGGCCCGCAGCGCGTCTTCCAATACTAGTTCTATCTAGGCCATTCCCCAGCTTTAAAGCCTTGCGTGGTTATGCATCATCGCCCCAAACTGCAAACTACCCAGATGCCCCTCCACTGGGGAACGCATAAACAACCTGTGGTACATCCAAACAATGGAATTGTTTTCGGCAACAGAAAGGAATGAACTACTGTTACCTGCCGTAACAAAGGACAGATCTCAAATGTGTTGAGCTGAAACTCAAAAGCCTACTACTGCATGGTTCCATTTAAGTGACATTCTGGAAACGGCAAAACTAAAGGGACAGAGAACAAATCTGGGGTTGCCAGTCACTGCGGTTGGGGGAGAGGTTAACTACCTCCCTGTCCGTTGCATGACATGCAATAATTGCACGACAGCATTTTGGGGGGTGATGCAAATGTTGTCTTGATCATGGCTGCCTGTATGCCACAGGCATTCATTTGTCAGAACTCACAGAAACATACACTCAAAAAAAAAAAGGTGAATTTTACTGCATATAAATCATGCCTTGATGGAAAAAAAAAAAAGCGAAACCTTTCCTGTTTTCCCAGTACCCACAGGTAAAGTCCCAGCTCTCACATGGTGTCCAAGCTCCGTCCTGAACACCCTCCCACCTCTCCAGCTTCACCCCCTTCTCTGCACATCTACATGTTCCAGCTACACCCCAGTTGTTTCCCCAACCAGCATGTCCCACCTCCACATGCCTTTTCTTAAGTTTTTTTTTCCTCCCCTGGATTGTCCTGTTCTCCCCACCCCCGGTCTCTGCCTGCCCTTCCACACCTCAGCCAGCCCTCACAAACACCTGTTGGTTCTGGCTCAGTCTGGTGTGGTGACATTTCAGTGAGTCCCCTCCACTGTTGCAGGGGCTCTAAACATGACTGGGCTTCCTGGGGTCCTGGAGCATCATGCTATCACCGGGGAATGTGCCCTTTCTTGGAGAGAAGAGCAATAGCTTTCATGGTATTCTCCAAGGGGCCCACACCCGAGGAAAGGGCAGGTGGATATTCTCCAACAGAATATGCCTCCTCTAGCAGATTGGCCTCATCTGCCAAAAAGTAAAATACACAAACCCTTTGACCTATGCAGTTCCACAGTTAGGAAGTTAGCCTCCAAAATACATGCATGTGTGGAACGTCTATGCACCTGGGTCATCACTGCAGCGTTGTTGGTCATAGTAAATATCAGAAATAACTTAAGTGTCCATCAGTGGGGGCCTGGCTAAATAAATGATGCATCCAAATGCTGGAATACTGCACAGTAGCAGTTCTCAACTGGGAGTGGTTTTGCCCCAAGGGGACATTTGGCAGTATCTTGAGACATTCTGGTTGTCACAAATGGGGGTGGGGAGTGGTGCTGTGTTCTACTGGAATCTAGAGGGTAGGGGCCAGGGACACTCCTAAACATCTTGCAATGACAGGACAGCCCCCCACAGCCCAATATGTCAGTAATTCAAGGTTGAGAAACAATTCTATACAGCCACGAAAAAGATGATGCAGCTCTTTAGGGAATGGTATAAAAACATCACCAAAATATATTAAGTGAAAACCAGCAAGAGGCAAAACAGTGTATATAATATAATGTCTAAATAATGTGTATGTTTTAAAAAGAATATACAGGCAGAGAATATATCTGGAAGGATGAGAAAATGGTAACTGTATTTGATCCAGGGAGAGGAATTTATGAGCTGAGAGACAGGATGGGAGGGAGAATTCCTTTTCATCTTACACCCTTTTGTGCCCTGTGAAGTGTGTATATGTGCTATATAACATTCATGACATCAACCAAATAAATATATGTATTGGAAGACTTATGGCTCCACTTCCACATTTTGATCGCAGGGCCCCTATTATTTGGTGGGGCATGGGGGGGGCGCGGGGGGCAGGGAATCTGCCCATCATCAGATTTTGAGCTCTTTGAGGCAGGGACCATGGTGGTCACTTGTCTATGGCCCAGTGCCTGGCACAGAGCCTGACACAGACTACAGGCTCAACAACAGTTTCCTGAATCAAACCAAGTTGAAGGGCGTGCTAGTGACACAGAGGAGCCTCTTTAGAAAGAAGAGGCCAAGAAGTGCTGTTGCCAGCTGTTTGGGGGCTATGACAGGTTTTGGCAGAGAGTGAAATGAATAATGATAATAACTAAATGTGCTAGGTACTCTACATGGATTATCTTATTTAACACTCTCAGTGACTATATAAGATGATATTATCCCCATTTTACAGATAAGGAAACTAAGTTCAGAGGGAGGAAGCTTCCCAAAGGTCACAGGGCCTGAGCTATTAACCACTGTCCTCATTGGTGAGACTGCCACACTTCTAGCCCAGCAGAATTCAGACTCTTGGGCCCTTGGCCACAGGCTCTCTGCAAGGCTGGCTTAAGCAGATGGTCTACACAGCAGGTGGTGGCGCCCCCTAGTGGCCATAAAAGCCAAAACTCTTGTTTCTACTCCTACTCCATCCAGCCTCCCAAGATGCTTGTCAGAGGGGAAAAGCCAGGAGAAGAGGCCAAACCCATTTGGGAAGGGCAGACAGAAGAGGGGGATGGAGTCCTATACCAATGGGCATGGTGACAAGGAGCGTCTCAGGCTAAGCCAAGCTAGGGAAGCAGGGGTGCCCATGGGGACAGGAAGGGCAAAAGGGCTGAATGAGAGCTGGGGCCACAGTTGACCAATAATGAATTATTATTACTAATGAATAGTGCCTGCTTAGCCTCAGGCACTGTGCCAAGCCTTTTTCATGCTTGACCTCATTCAAACCTGGCAGCCACCCAATGAGGTAGAAACAACCGCATTTTGCCTTTGAGGAAACCAGGGCTCAGAGAGCTACAATCAATCGCTGGAGAAGGCACGTGGCAACAGAGATGGAAAAGCAACTCCAGTCTAGGTATCTGCAGGACTTGTGCTCTTAACTCTACCGCAAAGCCCACAGCTCACAGTCAGTGGCAAGAGTGTTGTGGAGAAACCTCCCCCAAGGCTCGGGCTTCCTGGCTGGTGGTGCAAGCCCGAGAGGGTTTCTGCACGTCCACAGCTGGAGCCCAGGAGTGTGGCTGGCACCACGCTCAGAGCCCCGCAGAGCCTGCTTCTCTCCTGCCCGGTTTCCCCAGGCGCAGGCTCAGCAGGTGCCGGCCAGACGGTAGCCATGGCAACAGCTGGCGGTCCAGATGCTACAGAGGAGCTGCTCTGGATCCCCGAGGGTGAGGTCCAAAGCTGTGATAATCAGTCATTCCTTTAACAAATATTTATTGAGCATCTATTGCACAGTAGGCACTGGCCATACAGCAGTGACTATGACAGACTAGGTCCTCGTTCTCCTGGGGTAACAGAATAATCACCATTATAATGCAAAAATCAATCTTCTTTTGTACTGCTCTCTACGTGTCAGGCCCGGCGCTAAGACTTTCTGCATCTACTATCTCCTTGATCACAATCATCTCACCACCTCCCTGAGATAAGACCTATCAGCACTCCTAGTTTATGGAAGGAGAAAACTGTGGCTCAGAGAGGTTAAGCGACCTATCTAAGGTCACAACGCGAAGGGGAGGCAAGCAGGTAAGGAAACAACTCCAGCCACTTGGTCTTCCAGCCCCCCTTTATCTGTCTCCCAGCCCCTGGGACGTTGTCTGTGCACTCCCGGGCCAGCCTCTCGCCAAACTCGCCTCACTGACTGCTCGTGACTGCTCGCGGCCCCTCTCGACAGAGGGAGGCAGTGAGGCTCGGGAGCCGCAACGACCCGCCCGAAGTCACTCGGCGGGCCGGGGGCAGAGGAGGGACTGCGAGCCAGAGGCGCCCGGGCGGCTGGGGACGGAGCGGCTCACCGATGGTGGTGACGACGGTGATGGCGAAGTAGAAGGAGCCGGCGAACTGCCACTGCGGGCCGGCGCGGTGCGGCTCCGCCTGCCGCGCCAGGCGCTCCAGCTCGCGGTAGTCCTCGGCCGAGAAGCCGTACTTCCTGCGGAACTCGCCGCGCTTCCGCGCCAGCAGCCGCTGGCGGCCGCTCTCCGCGTCCGACTCCAGCGCGTCGAAGACGGCGGCGCCCACCAGCAGGTAGGACAGGATGCACAGGACGAGCGCGGCCGTGCGCGCGCTCTGCTCCCTCATCGCGGCGCCCGCCCGGCCGCCCCGCAGCCCCGCCGCCCCGCCGCCCCGCGCGCCCCGCAGCCCCGTGCGCCCCGTGCGCCCCGACGGCAGTCCGCTCCCCTGCGCCGCTCGCTGCGCCCGCCCGGCCCGCCGGGCACAGGGGAGAGGGGCGGGGCACAGGGGAGAGGGGCGGGGCACAGGGGAGAGGGGCGGGGCACAGGGGAGAGGGGCGGGGCACAGGGGAGAGGGGCGGGGCATTGGGAAGAGGGGCGGGGCACTGGGAAGAGGGGCGGCATAGGAGGCGGGCCTCGGCGCGGGGGCGGGGCAGGGAGGCGCCTCCCGCACGTCTGCCTTAGTTTACCCGCTGGGGTCCCGGGACTAAAGTGTTTGTCTGGAGGCAGTGACAACTGGAGCAAAGGCCCAAAGCCTGGGGCCACAGAAGTCCTGTGACATTGGCCAAGTCATTCCTTCCTTCCTTCATTGATTCCTTCACTCAGTCACTCGACAAGTATTTACCAAGCACCTACTGGTGCAAACGCCATTCCTGCTGTAAAAAGAGCTCATGCCTTAGTAAAGGATGGGATGCCTCAGTTTCCCCATCATTAAAGTGGGGTAAAAAGAAATCCTATCTCATAAGGAGCTGTGGGAGGCAGAAGAATGCCACTCCCCAAAAGATGCCCACGCCCTCTGCGACCTGTGAATACGTTAGGCTACCTGCAAAAGGGAGTTAAATCTGCAGGTGGAATGGAGGTGGCTAGTCAGCTGACCTTGAGAGGAGACATTTTCCTGGACTCTCTGAGTGGTCCCCGGGTAATCACAGCGTCCTTATGATGGGAAGAGGGAGATGGCAGCCCGAGAGGGGCTCAGCCTGACAATGCTGGTGTTGAAGGTGGAGGAAGGAGCCACAAGATGGGGACATTGGGCGCCTTCTGGAATCTGGAAAAGGCAAAGAAACAGATTCCTCCCTAGAGCCCCCAGAAAGGAACGCAGTCCTGCCAACCCCTTGGCTTTAGCCCAGTGAGGCCAGTGTAGACCTGCGTCCTGCAGAACCGGAAGATAATAAATTCGTGCTAAGCCGCTGTTTGTAACGATCCTGGGGGCTTCTCTAGAAGTGTCGGGCACTATCGCAGATATCACGAGTGAGCGGGTGCCAGGGCCTGTAGGGACATCAGACCCTGTGCCTGCCCTGCCTCAGTTACCAGGCAGAATTGGAGCCCAGTGCCTGCTAGAGGGGGCCTTGAACCCTGTCGTTCCCCAATAATCAGGATGGAGCTTGGTGGCCCAGAAGCAGGGTGCTGGCGCTGTGGTTTCAGCCTTACTTTTTTTGGCAACGACATCAGCAAGTTTGATATTCTGATTTGTGCTCAGACTCCAGAGGACAGAAACCTGAGCTGGAGTCTCAGAGTGGGGGTGGGTGGGACACCAAGCACCTGCAGCCCAGGAAGGGCCTGAGAAGAGGTGGGGAGACAGTGGGATTGGGAGCACAGCCTGTTCTTGCGGGAAGGGCAGGGCCCGCTCATGGCCGAGTTAATGAGGGCTCGGTCATGGACACAGCTGGAGGCAATAAGTCCTGGGTTCGAACTCCAGCTCCTCCACTTTCTAGCTGGGTGTCTGTGGACAGAACACTTCCACTCTCTGTGCCTCAGTTTGCCCATCTGAGAAACGGGGGGGATAATAATGTTCCCCTCCTAGGACCACGGCGAGGATTATAAAAGCTGTTTTGTGCCACTATCCAGGCACCCCTCACCCAGTAGCTATTTTTCCTTCCTTTTCACAACTGTCTGCCTGCAGATGTCAAGAATTCTTTTTTCAGAAGCAGGGGCAAAGCTAAGCTGTCTGTGCTAGGCGTAGTCACAGGCATCACTCATGGGACAATCACCTGACAGCCCAAGAAACAGAGGCACAGAGACCTGCCAAGTCCTCCCAGCCAGGTGGTGGCTGAGCCAAGATTGTCTTCAGGGTCTGCTGGCCCCTGAGGTCACGATGCTTGCCAAGCAAGATGCCGCTGGCTTTATTGTCCCCCCCCCCTCGTCACCTCTCTGGTCCTTGCTTTCCTCTCCTCTGAGGTGGGGCCGAGGACCGTTGGCTGTGAGCAGCCGTGAGGCACAGCGGAGAGTATGCCTGCTGGGTCTAGGTGTTATTGGGGCCATGGGGGAGCTGTCTGGCCCTGCCAGGCAGGTGACTCTGCCCTGTGCTTGGCATATTTGGTGCGGTAGCTCTATTTTAAGCCAGAGGAGGTTAGAGGTTGTGTATGTGTGTTTCTCAGCTTGGAAAACTGTCAGTGAGCAGTCACCAAAAACAGCAACCCCCCAAGGCACCCCCTTCAGCTCACCCTCCCTCTGCCACCTCCCCTCCTTCTTCCTTTGGGGACCTGAGGGGACCTAGTGATTTTCCTCTGTCCCATCATGCCAGAGTTGCACCCGTGACCCCTCAATGAGGCCTTGGATTTTCTTCTTCCAGAGCTCTAAGGTTGTCAGCTTTGAGGACAACAAAAAAAGTAACCCCAGTTCCCGGCTGGGCCCTGGGCACCCTTCGAAGCATTTCATATCACTTATGAGTCTAGATCTTTCCGAAAGCTTTGTGAGCCAGGTAGAGCTTGCCATTCCTGTGTCAGGGAGAGGAATCTGAGACTCAGAATTGGAGAGGGAGGGGGAGGGGGAGAAAAGGGGAAGGGGGAGAGGGAGGGGAGGGGGAGGGGGAGAGGGTGGGGAGGGGAGGAGGAGGGGAAGGGGGAGCTCACCTAAGGCTGCACACAATAGGGCATTGCTTGAGAAAGAGCATGGGTTTAAGAGTGAGCCAGACCTTGCTTCCACTTGGGGCAAGTGACTCCACCTCTCTGAGCCTCGGTTTCCTCATCTGTGAGCCGGGGTGGGAATATCTGCCCAGCAGTATCCCTGTGAGGACTGGATGGAGGTATGTGAGAAGCTCTCAGTGCAGAGCAGTGCCCGGTGAAGGCCAGTAGCCCCTCCAGTGAATTTCTACTTTCCCCTTTTCCACCCTGCCTATTCCCCAGGCTCCTGGCATCTTAAGGGATTGATTTTTATAGTTAGAATATAGTTCAGTAGTTTTCCAGAAGGCCAGAGGGCCCAGGCGTTTTCCCTGATAAGAGCTCTCTCTTGCCTGGCTCCTAAAAGAATGGATTATTTTAACCTCAGGGGACAAGAGGTACCAGTCTTGAGAGATGGCAGCTGTGGCTTTTCTGCAGCCTGATTACCATTTAGGGATCTGGGTTGCAAGAAATTAAAAGCTGCCTCTTATTAATGTAAGGAATGTTATAGGTAGGATTTTGGGGTCTCCTGGAATCTTCTGGGTACCGAAAAATCATATGGTTTGGAGGAACCCAGAGAAATGGAACCATGAGTATCTCCAGGAAAACACCATAGCCACACCCAGTGCGGGGGGACCATTGTTCCCAGGAGGATGAAGGTCTTATTTGGGGGGCGAATGACAACTTTCTGAAAGTGACTCCTGTCTCTGAATGTTGAGTCCCAGCCAAGGCTGCTCAGAGGAGTCCTAACACGTGTTTGTGACCATTTAGTTGGAGACATTGAGAATTTGTTTTTCAGCCTCCTAAGGACTGACATCTTTGGGTTAATGGAGATATTAAATCCTTTACTCTGGCTAATAATTTTAAAATCTAAGTGATAGCAGTATGGAGGTTTATTAAATCATTTTCTCTACTTTCATGTATGTTTGAGAATTTTCCCAGTATAATGAACCCTTTCGCTCTATCCCACCCCGATTTTTCCCCTTCTATTCCTTTGGCAGGGAGGGTGAGAGCAGATATGAACGGTGACGTTTGTTGAGTAGTCACTGTGAGTAGTCACTGTGATCCAAGCACGAAGTTCGTGGACTAGTCACAGCGATCCAAGCACGAAGCAGGCGTCACTTCGTTTAATCCTCACAGCACTGTGGAGTAGGCCCTTTTAATCCCACCCTGCAGAGGAGGAAACCAAGGCTCAGAAGGATGCAGTGATTTGTTCGAAGTCACGTTGCCAAGGAGGGGGGTGCTGTCTGCCGAGCTCTTGCTCTAAACAGCAGCACTTCCCTGCCGGCGAGGAGCTTAGCATGGTGCTGGCGCAGGTGGCAGCTGCTACCATATGGCAATTTGAGCTCAGCTGCTGCTGACAGAGGCCTGCCCCCGTTCCTCCCGCCAAGGTCCACCCCTCCCTTCCTCAGTCAGTGGAATATATTGGAATCCAGACACGCCTGAATCAAAGGGGGTGGGGCTTGCCCTGGAAAGAGTCAAGGCAAAGCAAAGAGCCTGAGACGTGGTGAAACGTGTGTGCTAATGGCACCGTAGCACAGAGTGCACTGTCCAATACCTGAGCCACTAGCCAAAGGCGGCCATTTATAAAGTAATTAAAATTAGATCAAATTGCAATTTCAATTCTTCAGTCCCACTAGACACTATTCAAGCGCACATTAGCCACATGTGCTAGTGGCCATTGGACAGAGAAGATATAGACCATCTCTGTCATCATGGAAAGTTCGACTGGACTCCTCTGGCTTAGAGGGTAAGAGCATAGACATTGAGACCAGACTGGCTGGTTTTGAATCTTGGCTCTGCCCCTGCTATTATCCTGGGCCTCAATTTATTCCCCTATAAAATGAGGATAATACTCCTGTAGAAGCCAACGTATCCAGCTTATTTGGTACCAGTGGTTAGTCAGTTCATCAAAGAAGCACAGAATTCTTTTAAATGATACACACCTTGGACATTTCGTTCAACTAAAAGCACACGCATACGCTCATTTGCCAATCTGTTCTTTGAGTGTGGGTCTGTTAATTGTCTTTGCACATTGTCCTCCTTGCATAAACCACACCCAGAATCTATCTTTTGATTTTCAATTTTGGTTTCTTTAATGTAGAACAAGGACCTGCAGACATTTGTGTCTGCAGCAACTTGGGTGTCGAATCCCTCTAGGTTTTCATGGTTATTTTGTTCCAGAGTTTTTGTAGTTAGTTGTTTCTTCCACACCTAACTTGGCAGTATTCTCTTTAGCAACTAGTCCTTATTGAGTTTTCATAAAAACAAATCTCTTTCCTTT